AATAAAATAAAATAAAATAGGTCTGGTGTAGTCAGCATTTGAATATGAATCATGGCTACTAAGGGCCAGGGAGAGAGAAGGAGAGGAGCCTGGGGAATGCAGGTAAAGACACGTCGGAGGCTGAGCAGTTCCCTGCTCGGACTCTGCTCCCAGCTGGGCACGCCATGCAGGCAGGGATCAGGTCCTCTCCTTTCTACACTCTGTACATTGCCAAGGACAGACTCTCTATGAGGCGAAGCTCACTAGACATCTGTTGAATTGGAATGAATGATTCTCAAGTGTCAAGTGTCAGAACTGGGAAGGCTGTGGGATGCAGGTACAGGAGGACCCTGAACTCCTCTGGAGAAGACCGTGAGCAGTCTCATTCCCTCCTAGCAGCCATCCCAGTCCCTCCAAGCAGGAAATGAAAGGTAGTCTTCCCACACCCTTTCCTAAGCCCGCTTCCTTGAGGGAAATTTGGGGGAGGAGTTTGTGTGAAGAGCAAAGTGTATCCCACCTCCCTAAAGGGAAAAACTTGTGACCATGTGACCACCAGAGAAAGAACCGCTGAAGGAGACAGCGATTCTTCCCAGGCGCAGAGAAGGGTTAAGTCCGCGGCAGTCAGGGGCTCCCACCACTGCTAATCACTGGTTCACACCATATTAATTACCCAGCCACAGGGGGGAGTGCACAGGAGTAAATTAGCTGGTGAGTTCAAAGGGGCCGCTCCCCACATTCCTTAATTAAGAGAGCAGCTGGCAGCCGGAGCTGCTGCTCCACCTCCCTGGGGCCCTTCTGAGATGCCTGAGTCGGCTGTGTCTGCCTGTTGCCTAGGCAGGCATAGCAGCTCTATCTGCCAGGTGGAACGGCCTGCACCCACCTTAACTTCGGCCGGGTGGGGGCAGGTGTCGACCATGGCCATACAAGCTGCTTGGACTTGACCACTGACCCTGAGCTGCTTGGCGAGGAGATTCAGGGCTGGGTGGAATCTGGGTGAGGGTGCACCCTGCAATGTTCTGTGCCTGAGGGTAGAGTGGGGCCATGTTTCTCCAGGGTCTGAGATGCAGAAGGGAAAGAAAGATGGGTGCCTGAGGGCCTGGGAGAAAAGGGGAGGCAGGTAAGAAAGGAGGTAGAGGCAGAACAGCCAGGCAGGAGAGGGGCACTCAGCAGGTTTTTGGGAGACAGGGGTGAGGGCAGAGGGAGTGGTGATACTAGGAGGGGTGGGCCCCTGGACATTGCTTCAGAGGATAGTGGGAGATGGGGGCTGAGAGGGGCAAGCAGGACCCCATCTAGGCCCTGTCTTTGTGTCTGCTTTCACCTCATCTATCAGTATCATGCCATAAGGGAATGGCAGACCAGAGGTGATGGCAGTCCCAGGGTTGCCCATGTGAACCACTCCCTGGCAAGTGCACTTGGGCAGCAGTGCCGTGACATGACAGAAAGGTTGGGCTGGAGGCCGAAAACCCCAGAAGGAGCCTGCTTCTGCCTCTTAGAAATGCCTGCCGCCTTTGGAAGGTTGAGGTGAGTGGATTGCCTGAGCCCGCAGACTCGAGACCCGCCTGGGCAGGCGAGACCTCATCTCTACAATAAAAAAAAATTAGCCGAGCGTGGTAGCGAGCGCCTGTAGCTCCAGCTACGTGGAAGGCTGAGGTGGAAGGAGCGCCGGAGCCCAGCAGGTTGAGGCTGCGGTGGCTGGGAGCGGCCATTGCACTATCGTCTGGGCGACAGAGTGAGACTCCAACTCAAAAAAAAAAAAAAAAAAGAAATGCCTACCGTTGCTGGGCCTCTGCAGATGTGAAATAGATGTGACATGCCCTCACCTCCTGTGGGATGGTGTTGACACCGCTGTGAGCCTGAGTGCCTGCCTCCTCAACTTTTGTACCAGCTCTGTTTCCTCCTGGTTCTTGTCCTGCTGGGGGTAGGTAGAGGGAATACAATCTTTGGCCAGCCAGGGGCATGGTGCACCTAGCTGGAGAGGGAGAAACTGAGGAGAGAGAGGAGAAAGTGATTGGAATGGAAAACTGCGATGGAGACTAGGGTGGAAGGGCCTGCACTCGGGTTTGTCTGCTTTTGAGACAAACATTCCCTTCCCCCCCAGAGATTTGAAGGAAGGCTGCCTAACAGAAACAGAACCACACTGTGCTTGATGGAGGTGGAGAGGAGGAAGCTGGAAGCTTACTCATGTATTCGCTCACTCCCCAAACACTCGCTGGATTCTCATCTCGTGCACGCGAATGCATCCGGCAAAGCTTTAGGGAGTGAGGAGCACACGTGAGCCTCAAGAGGTCAGGAACCCGGCATGCTGATGATGACAAGACCGTGACACGGATGATGGAAGTTTCAATCACAATATTGATCTGTGCCCCACTTGGGGAAGAATTCCAGGGCAAGTACAACATGGACTGCTCTTTCAAAGGACTTAAGAGAAGGGGCCCTCTGAGCAGGGGCACAACGAGTGACTGTGCTGGACCAGCAGACGTGCTGTCGGCTCCAGGTCCTGCCAGCTGCAGCTTCTTCCCACAGTGCAGAGGGAGATGTGAACTGGCGGAACACAAAAGATCCCAGGATTGGGTGAAGAAAGCTGGGTCTTTTCATCCTGCATGCCCTCCTGAGGCTGCTCTCTTTAAAGATACAAAGATGAGGGACCTAGAGCTATTTAGTGGATACTCATTGAAATCAAGCCTTATTTCCTAGCCAAGTCTAACATAACAAGCCTGCAACAGAAAGAAATCCCAGTGCATGCAGTCTGCCAAGTTCAGGGAAGAACCAGGCTCCATTTTTATTGCTTGTGTCTAAATTGTATGCTCGCATACATAACAAGGATCGGATGGCTCAGCAAATCTTTCACTGACGTCCAGTGAATGGATCAGGCCATGGTGCAGGCTGGAGGCAAGTCTAGAATACTTGAGAGGGCCACCAGAGGGCAGCCACGAGGCTCCTGGATGTGGGTTTCTACTTCCCTTTCTCCAGTAAGGAGCAGTGCCAGGTCTCCTCTCACTCCCAACCCAGAGTATTTCCTCTTTCTTTACCCTGTGGGTAGTGTGACCCCCGAAAGCCCAGGTGCCTAGAGAAGGCACGGCCAGCTCATCTTACCGAATGTTGCATTTAGCTCTGACATGAAGAGAAAAATAATATCTCACAGATCAGAGACTTGAGAACATGTGGAGGCTGCCGGCAGACAGTCCCGTGGCTCCCGTGGCCAGTGGTGCTGTGGCAGGTGGGGAGGGCCACGGACAGGGAGGGCTGAGGAAGCAGCCCTTTGGGGGCTTCTCCAGGGCATCCTTCCTCAGTGTCTACAGAGTCTGTCCCTGTGATGCTGGGTGGATTATGGTGCAAAAGTCGCGGGTTCTCTGAGTTGGTCCTAAAATGATTTTCAGAATGCCCAGCAAGTTTCTAAAACAGTTTATTAGCAAGAAGAGAAGGAAAGAGGAAGACTTGTGCTGGAAGGAATTGACACGGACACATTTGTGGAAAGAAAAGATATCGCTTTTGTGCTTAATTAAAAGCTAGGCATATTTTCACAATAATTGATACGCTAGTAAGGGTAGTACACAGGTTGTCATCTCCCCGCCTGTGATGGGAGGAGGGGTGGTCTTTTCCCAGAACACACATTTGTTTTTGTAGGATACTTGCCAGACTTTTGATTATACAAGTTAATGAACTAAAAGGTGGTCTTATTATCAGTTTGATGGCTTTGATCAGTTAAGCAGTGGGGCTGAGCCTTTTACCTTCAAGGGGAATCTGAAAGATTTTTAGTGATTATTATGCTAAACCATGAGCTGAAAGGTTGGGCTGTCCTGTTCTTACATCTGGTGAGATTTTCTTTTGATTGGCCAAGGAGGTGGAGTGGGCTGGCGGTTCACATTCCAGTCTGGCCTGCAGTACAGATGTGATAAGAAAAATGTCTGAACACTTCCTAAAATCTGCCTATAAGAAATTTGTCTGTCTAGCTGGGCGCAGTAGCTCATGCCTGTAATCCCAGGAATTTGAGACCAGCCTGGGAGACTTAGTGAGACCTTGTCTGTACAATAAATAAAAAAATTAACAGGGCATGGTGGCCACACACCTGTAGTTCTAGCTATTTGGAAGGCTGAGGTGGAAGGATTGCCTGAGCCCAGCAGGTAGAGGCTTCGGTGGACATGAGTATGCCACTGTGCTCCAACCTGGGTGACAGAGTAAGAGTCATACTCAAAAAAAGAAAAAAGAAAAGAAAAGAAATTTGTTTATGCCTAACCTGTGCTAACTACCCTGCTTTACCTGGAGAACTTGGGAGTCCCAGTCCTCCCTGGAGATGGCCCTTTTGCCCCTGCCGTGTCTATGGGAACAGAAATGGCTTCTGCTCTGATAACTGAGAACTGGAAATGGGGCTTTTGGGGCTGGATGTGCTGCTATCAGGCAAACCAGTGGGAATCTGGGTTGAGGGGTAGAGCCTTCTTTGAAAGCGCTGCTTCTCTGTTCTTTTCTGAGATTTTCTTTTTCCTTAATTTTCTTAGTAATTGTTAATTTGGGAAAATCCCAGCTCATTATTTTGTAAACTAAGGGAAAGAATGTTTTCAGCTGTGCAAATAGAGCTGGGTGGAGGGAAGAGGAATTCCAGGGAGAGAGCAAAAGACTTGACAGGCCAGGCCAGGGGTGTGTGTGTCTGTGTTGTTGTGTGTGTAGGACAGGTCTTTTCACCTGTCTGTGTTGAAGGACCTGTTTTTCTTTTTTGATTTGTAATCCATTGCGGACCTATACTTTGGTAGAGACAATAAAAGCAAATTACTAGAAAAATGAAATAAAAAAAGACATGCAAAATACAAGCCCTCTTTTTTAGGATTATATTAAACAAACATAAGTTTACTCTGTCAGAGTGCTATAAAAGTTTCTAAGTTCCTGCTTCAATTTTTCTGCTTATCTTGCCATGGACTAGTGAAAAACAATTCACAGACTGGCACCCGTCCGTGGACCAGGCAGAGATCACTGGTGTGGGGCAGGGAGAAAGTAAGGTATGAAAGTTCAGGAAGGGGGTGGTCTCTGGGGATACGTGGAAGGGCTGGTTCCTTCCCAGGTCTCGTCATCGGTTTTTCTTTGTGAGCCATCTGTCTGTGTTTTGACTATTTACAAGGCGGGCATTATTTTGTAGAGGGCATGGCAAGGGCTTAGGTTTTGCTGGTGTATCCTGACCAACGAGTGAGGACCCTAAGCTTCTAGATTGTTTGGTTTGTGTTCTTTGGTTTGGCAAAGAGGGGGATCTGGGATATTCCGAACGCAGACCAGACTGGGGATGAGAGAGGTGAAGAGGAGGATGAGAAAGAGGAAGATGAGTAGGGATCGGATGTATGTCAATGAAGAGTCTATCTTGCAGGTCGATCAGTGCTTTTAAAATTTTAATGTGCTTACAAATTGTCTGGGGATGTTATTGAAACGCAGATTCTAATTCAGCAGGTCTGGGGTTGGGACTGAGCACCTGCATTTCTTTTTTTGAGTTGGAGTCTCACTCTGTCGCCCAGATTGCCACAGCAGCCTCGACCTGCTGGGCTCCGGCGATCCTTCCGCCTCAGCCTTCCAAGTAGCTGGAACTACAGGCGCGTGCTACCACGCCCGGCTAATTTTTTGTTTTTCTGTAGAGATGAGGTCTCACCAAGTTGCCCAGATGGGTCTCGAACCCACGGGCTCAGGCAATCCACTCACCTCAGCCTCCCAAGGTGCGGAATTACAGGCTGAACCACCGAGCCTGGTTAGCACCTGCATTTCTAATGAACTCTCAGGTGATGTTAACAGTGTAGGTCCAGGGGGAGACACTGCGTGTCTGCAGCTCCACGGTGCCAGGAACTCTCTGATAATATTGATGCCATCTCCTTTGTAGGCCAGGTGGGTGGGGTCTGGTGCAGTCCAGAGTTAGTGAGTCGGACTTCCTCTTTCTGTTTCCAGAGCTGGGGAGTATGGAGCAGGGGCCAGGGCCTTAGAGGAGCAGGTACAGTTGATTCTTTTTTTTTTTTTTTTTTTCTGAGTTGGAGTCTCACTCCGTTACCCAGGCTGGAGTGCAGTGGCACACTCACGGCCACCGCAGCCTCGACTGGCTGCGCTCCGACGATCCTTCTACTCAGTCTTCCAAGTAGCTGGAACTACAGGCATGCGCCATCACACCCGGCTAATTTTTCTTGATTTATTGTAGAGATAAGGTCTCACCAAATTGCCCAGGCTGGTCTTGAACCAGCACTTTGGGAGGCGATCCTCTCACCTCGGCCTCCCAAAGTGCTGGGATTACAGGCTTGAGACACCATGCCCGACCTGCAACTGATTTTTTGTTGGCTGCGTTCAGGCCTCAAGGAGTGTGGACACCTTGAACAAATCAAACCAGACTATTGGGTACTGCAAATGATTGATATTGATGAACAATATGAAGCAAATGAAAACACCGCTATTAACCAAAGCAGATTCTATAACCACACGCCTTTTTAAACAAGTAGGGAATCACTGAGTTTTCTCAGTCACACCGCACCAACAGGGCTTGGGCAGACCTCAGTTCTGTCTTTGGTAAACCGGAAAGGGTTGTGTGGAAAAGCAGTGTCCTCAGTGCCTGTGGAGCTCCCATTTGGGTGTCAAGGATTCTGTGATATTATCAAGGCCCAGGCCTTTTCTGGCTGACCTTGGTCTTGCTGAACCTCCAAGTGGACCCCGTGGACCTCGGCGGCAGCTCGAAGGTTGGAAATGTGTTCAGAGCTGCTCTGGGCTTAGCCCTCCAGGCTGAGGGTGATGTTCTTTCCTTTGAAAATCAAGCCAAGCACACACAAAGGAACCAGGGACCATAACAAAAGTGCAGTCACGCGCACACACACACACACACACACACACACACACACTCATGCACAGTCATGTGTTACCTAATGATAGGAGTACCTTCTAAGAAATGCATCCTTCGATGGTTTCGTCATTGTATAAACAACATAGCGTGCACTTTCACAAACATAGATGGTGCAGCCTACTACACATTGAGGCTGTGTGGTGTAGCCCAGCTGCTCTTAGTTACAAACCCAAACAGCGTGTGACTGTCTGAATACTGTGAGGAATTGCAACACAATGGTATTTGTGTATCTAGATATAGCTAAACATAGAAAAGGATTTAGTAAAAATATAGTATAAAAGAGAAACAATGGCACACCTGTGTAGGGCACTTAGCATGACTGGAGCTGGCAGGACTGGAAATTGCTCTGTGAGTAAGTGGTGAGTGAACGCGAAGGCCTAGGACATTACACTACATAGACTTTATTTTTTATTTTTTATTTATTTTTTTAGTTGGAGTCTCACTCTGTCACCCAGACTGGAGTGCAGTGGCATGCTCCTGGCCCCCGCAGCCTCGACCTGCTGGGCTCCGGCGATTCATCTGCCTCAGTCTTCCAAGTAGCTGGAACTACAGGCATGCGCTACCACGCCTGGCTAATTTTTTGATTTATTGTAGAGGTGAGGTCTCGCCAAGTTGCCCAGGAGTAATTTTTGATTAATGTAGAGATGAGGTCTCACCAAGTTGCCCAGGCAGGTCTCGAACCCGCGGGCTCAGG